AAAATACCCACTGACATTGACAGTGACAGCTTGTAGTTGTGACTTACATTAAAAAACAAAATATTCGATTGGTTTTCCTCTTTCTCTGCGAAAGTTATTGTTTTGATGAAGTTTTCTTTTCGTCAGTCATTAAATTTATAAAGAAAAATAATACGCAAAGTATCATGAGCAGCTTAAGCAATAAGGTAATGCATTAAAAGAGTTTTATAGATATTAAATGTTTACATGGTCATTGAAGTTTTCTCTTCCGGTCGTTACAGAATTTCCCAGAGTTGAAAAATGACCGTCTATTGAGAGCTGCGTTTGGTCAAGAAGTTGATAAAGTACCGGTATGGGTGATGCGACAAGCCGGTAGATATCTCCCGGAGTTCCAAGAAGTACGAGCTAAACACGACTTCTTTACTGTATGTAGAACTCCTGAATTAGCTGCTGAGGTTACATTGCAACCACTAAGGCGATTTGAACATTTGGATGCATCTATAATTTTTAGTGATATACTTGTTATTCCACAAGCTTTGGGTATGGTAGTGGAGATGCATCCTGGTGTGGTAAGTGAATTATTGTTATTAATATTGTTATCAAATGTTTTGTAAACCGCTCATACCCTTAAATTAGACAATTGTCAAAATATTTTTTATATCTTATACACTATTAGTAGCTATACTAATGGTAAACATAAATAAACAAAATATTTATGCTCATCACCCAACAAAGCTAGTATATTATATTACATAAAAATAATCAAAGAAATGAAATTACTTAAGATCCTCATCCTGGTTGTACAGACCACAGAATTGGTAGTCCTAGCAAGTCTGTTCAAATGACATTCCCGTAAAAGTATCATATACTCTCATTTGTCTTAGATTTCATAAAAAAATATTACAGGGTCCAGTATTTCCTGAACCACTAAAGGGACCTTCAGAAATAAATTTACTACAAGAAGAAGGTGCCATTTCAAGATTATCATATGTTGGGGATGCAATCACATTGACTAGACATAAAATTGAAGGAAAAGTTCCTTTGATTGGTTTCACTGGAGCACCAGTAAGTTTCTAAAATGAAATAATGGCATGATTCTATGCATTGATATTTATTTTAATCCAAATCTCTATTATAGTTTACTTTGATGGGATACATGATAGAGGGAGGAGGCAGTAAAACAATGTCGAAAACAAAGGAATGGTTGGAGAAGTATCCAAAAGATGTTCACAATCTTTTGGGTATGTTAACAAGAGTTATTATTGATTATTTAGTTATGCAGGTGAGCAATAAATAGTAAAGAAATTACAATAGTGAGTATTTGGCTATATGGATAGTAAAATAAACTAAACTTCATTCTTTATCATCATAGGTAGATAGTGGTGCGCAATTACTTCAAGTTTTCGAGTCTAGTGCTGACCATCTGACAAAGAAGCAATTTGCTGAATTTTCTGCTCCTTACTTGAAAGACATTAGAAATGGTGTAAAATCCATAACCAAAGACAAAAACCTACCTCAAGTTCCCATGGTAAGAGTAGTGCAATAATTATAGAATCAGTCAATAATGTAAGGTCATAATATGAAAACATATATTTTTTTACATAGTTCTTTCTGGTCCCACAATTTATTGATACTAGAACTAGTATCATCTAATAAAGGTCCAGTGGGACCAGAAAAAACACAAACATAAAACACAGAGCAGTATATTGAATTTCTATAAATGTTCATGATTTATTATTCAGTCAAAAATATTATTTTTAGCATAGTTACAGTTTTAGTAGGATGTTTGCAATCAATTTTTTTTTTCATTAGAGACTATGAATTGTCATTTATTTTTCTTGAAATTTGGGATTCTATACAGGCCCAAATGTCAAGAATAATGTAAAACAACAAAGATTGTCTTTGATTTAAAGGTGTGTCAAAAAAATTTAGAAGTTTTTCTTATTAAGTATAACATTGATGGTTCATTCTGTTGTTTAGAAATTACACTGATATCTTTTATTATATCTATGATCCACAGACAGTATTTGCCAAGGGTGGTGGACATTCCTTAGAGCTGCAAGCACAATTAGGTTATGAAACTATTGGTTTGGATTGGACAGTAAATCCTATAGAAGCTAGAAAAATTGTTGGTGAGAATATAACATTACAAGGCAATCTGGATCCACAAGATCTATACAAAAGTCCGGTATGTGTATACGTAAAAAAAATCAATTTTTAAATAATAAAGTTTTCAATAAATCAAGATAACATATAAGCTGGGCTTGAAATACTACCAGTATATACATATATGTATTTTCCATTTGCATGTATCATTCTGCTGCTGAAGCTGAAGGAGCTCCGGCGTATATTTAACTCGGTCCTTTTCTCCGGGAGAACTCCTAGGGCGTGGCACCGGAGCTTGGTCGTATTGTTCTTCAAGAAAGGCGAAAAAACCTTACTGAAGAACTCTCGACCAATTTCACTCCTGAGCCATGTCTATAAGTTGTTCTCGAGAGTCATCTCGAATCGCCTTGCACGAAGACTTGACGAAGCTCAACCTGCAGAACAGGCCGGGTTCCGACGGGGTTATGGCACCATAGACCACATTCACACAGTGAGACAGGTTATACAGAAGACCAAAGAGTATAACCAGCCCCTGTGCATGGCGTTTGTGGACTATGAGAAAGCTTCTGACTCCGTTGAGACCTGGTCTGTTCTTGAGGCGTTGCAGAGGTGCCAAGTTGATTGGCGATATATCGAGGTGCTGTGATGTCTGTATAACGCCGCTAATATGTCCGTCGTGCTCCGGAATGGCCAGACCGAGCCTGTCCTGCTGCGCCGTGGTGTGAGACAAGGAGATGTAATATCCCCGAAACTCTTCTCCGCTGCGCTGCAGGACGTGTTCGGAACGCTCAACTGGAAAAGACGCGGAATAAATATTAATGGCGAATACATCTCACACCTTCGATTCGCGGACGATATCGTCATCCTGGCTGAAACCCTGCAAGACCTACAGGAGATGGTGAGTAGCCTGGCTGAATCTTCCAAACGCGTTGGTCTCCGGATGAACGTGGATAAAACCAAGGTCATGTTCAACGAGCTCGTTGATCCGGGACTGGTTGCTGTTAATGGAGTACCTCTCGAAGTTGTTCAGGAATATGTCTACCTAGGACAAACGCTCCGATTAGGCAGAAACAACTTTGAGAGAGAAGCCAATAGGAGAATTCAGTTGGGCTGGGCAGCATTTCATAAGCTTCGTCAAGTCTTCTCGTCACCCATCCCTCAATGTCTTAAGTCGAAAGTCTTCGACCAGTGCGTCCTCCCAGTTATGACATACGGCGCCGAGACGTGGACACTCACGGCTGGACTGGTCCACCAGTTTAAAGTTTTAAGGGCTATGTTCGGAGTATCCCTGAAGGACCGCATCAGAAATGATGTAATCCGACAGAGAACCAGAGTCACCGACATAGCCCACCGAATTAGCAAACTGAAGTGGCAGTGGGCTGGTCACATTAGCCGCAGAACTGACGGCCGATGGAGCCGTAAAGTTCTTGAGTGGAGACCGCGACTCGGTAAACGTAGTGTGGGACGCCCTGAGACAAGATGGGATGATGACAATCGTAGGCTGGCTGGAGTGGGCTGGATGAGAGTGGCAGAAAATCGGGAGCAGTGGCGTGCATTAGGAGAGACCTATGTCCAGCAGTGGACGAGCATGGGTCGATGATGATGATGATGTATCATTCACCTTGACAACATACCAGTAATAATTTTATACAAGTAAAAATAAAACTGGTATTTTATGAAGTATACCAGTATTATAAAGGTTTTATAATAGCTTTAAAAATACCACTATTTTACCAATATAATACATTTATTAATACCAATATCAGATCAGCAAAGAAATTTTATGTGTGTGAGCGAGATAAATAGCAGCAGTTGCATTGGCCACTAGATAAATACGGCGCGTCTATGACTAGATACCTTGTATATGAAGACCGACGAGCGCTGCTAAGTGCGTTTGAATGTTTACGAAGTGACAACGTATTTCGTTCGCCCGCATCCACGTAATGCGTCGAAATGGCAACGTCGCGGCTCGCGGATAAATAATATTTTTACAGATATTATATTATATTTTTGGGGTATCGGTATACAGTAACCGAAAAGATTATACCGATATTACCGTTATAATACCGGTATTTAAAATAACGGTTACAAGCCCTAGATATAAGTATATTAAATTCTTAAATTCTTGTCGATTTTTTAAATCAGGTTAAACAAAACATCAAGCTTCATGTTCATCAAAACAACAGCAATTTCTTGAGATTCTGTATTTCTGTTACAAGAAAATTCTCTAGTCTATGAAAACCTTAACTAACCTTTAAACAAGCATAACTTGTTTTCAATCAAAGACTTAGTGGTACTTACAATAGAATTTACAATCAATATTAAGGCCCATTTGCAGCAATTTTTGCTAAATCTCGATTTAACTAAAACTAGATGTAGCCTATAAAATAATGTCAAATTGACATTGACGTTTTGACACTTATATGGGTTAGATCTAGTTTAAGTTGCATCTGCTGCAAGTGGGCCTAAGACCTTTATTATATACACCATTACGCTTTGCAAACTTAGTTTTTCCTAAAATCGTTTGGCCAGTAACATATATAATACAAAAGTCCAATTTACCGGACATATATTATTATCCCCTCCAAAATTTCAGGCTACGACCGCGCCTATGTAGACCACCAATTTGTAATATCACAAACAGATAAATAATTTATCAATTTTATTTCACAGGGTGAAGTGAGAAATCTTACCATTGACATGGTCAAAAAATTCGGAAAATTCCGGTATATAGCCAACTTAGGTCATGGTATTACCCCTCAAACACCTATAGAATGTATGAAAGCTTTTACAGAAGCTGTGCATGATGCTGTATAAATATGGATCTTTTGTTTTGTTGTGTATATTTAATATTGTTTTTAATATAATTTTATGGAAAATTAATGGGCATGTTGAAATAAAATATTGGTTTTTAGCTTATTGTTTTAATGTTAATTATATTATAAAACATAAACTAGATTAACAATGTATTAAGTTACATAGTATAAGTAGTTTTAGAATTCTGACTTGTAGCTGGTATATCTTCATCATGGCTTCCAACCGATTTTTTCACATACTGCAATAAAAAGTTTATATTGACAAAAATTCAAAAACAGCATACAAATAATATTCAGTACGGATATTCCAGCTCATAATATCTGCAGAGTAGTTGTAGGTATATTAATTAAAGAAAAGGGAATCATCAATGTCTGATAAACTCATAACTAAAATTAGACAAGATCTATTATCGAAAATATATTTTTTATTAGTTATCATTCTTGTTTTAATGACAAGTTCACGATGTTTATTCTTTTATTTCTTCTAGAATAACTCACTAGTTGATCTTAACATCAAGAACTAAAATCCAGTAGGCCAGACAAGCCTAATTAACTATTTAGCCACAGAGAAAAAAAGATCTTTCTCATCTGTTTTCCTCATTGTTCTACCAATAGAACATAGAGAATATTTTAGATATTTTTCTTACCTGAGGATTAACTTGAATCTGTTCATCCATTTCTTGGATATATTGATGCAACTTAGTGCAAGCAGCCATTTGCTGTTCCAACACGCACAAAGTTTCAGGAGAAGCATATTTTTCGGGGCTGTCCAAAAATACCACCATTCCATCTTTTTGGTTTATCATAGCATATATTTCACCTTCTTCAATCTAAAAAAAATCCGAAGCAGAATAAAGTAAGAAAATAATGAAAACAACCGGCCAAGTGCGAGTCGGTCTGGCGCACCGAGGGTTCCGTACAAAATCAATTTAATACATTTAATCTCTAACTTTAAAATTTTCAAAAATATTTTTTATTATATGATGTAACTAAAAATTTACGGTTTTCGCAATTTTTCCTTTATCTGTACTATCAGACAATACGTCGTACCAAATTTCAAGATTCTAAGTTCACGGGAAGTACACTAGATTTTGATACCCGTGCGAGTTTAGAAAATTTGCGGAATAAACGGCTGTATCTTTTGAATGCTTTGGCTTAGAAGTTTGTTTTTTTCACAGCTCTAAGGGGCAGTCATTTCCTGAGTCTTGACAGACAGACCGACGGACGGACAACAAAGTGATCCTATAAGGGTTCCGTTTTTTCCTTTTGAGGTACAGAACCCTAATAATTTCAGTTAATATTACACCATAATTACCATATTCAGAATGTAGGTTTCAGCCTGGGCTGGTCCAGAGAGTTGCACTCGCGAAGCTACGTCACTCAGTGAGAGGGTCAAAAACGTTTTAGTTAGTCGTTGAATGTTCTTTTTATACATTGAACTTAATACCTGAAATCATAAAAAATACATTTTTATTTTTAAGCATTTAAAGAAAATTTTACTGGAATCATGAAAATTGTTTTATGATATATAGGTAACTTAAAATGTTACTTTTGGTGAGATTATTATCAAGGTGCTTCAAATAGCGAGATTGCATAACTCATAAATATTTTTCGTACTATGTAATTTTTTTTTCAAACCTTTAAATGACAAGATGTTTCATGTAACAAACATCAAGTGAGTACATTCACATGAAATTAAATATTTTTTGACAGAATTTTATAAGAATGAGTAAAATCATCAAGTGCTAACTTGATGAAATGTCAAATGTTTCATTTGCATGTTGCTATGTTAAATCCCTGTGAGGTCTAAAATGGTGTGTTTGTATGAAACATCTAATATGTTTTTCCATCTAAGTGAACAATTTTAAGCATTCAATACTAAACTGAAAAATAAGATGATTTAGACATTCCATACTTTTCTCATTTTATGTTTCACGTAATAACTTAAATGTAAAATTTGAAAACTGTGAAACTTATTTTAAACAATATGACGGCAACAGATGACTGAGCGGAAAAACAAATGCAATATTACTAAAGCTCAATTTATACCGCCGCGGAATGAAATGCAAGCGATTTTGGTAATGAAATTGTGCATAGCATATTCAACTTTGTGTCAATTGTATAACATACAACAGAAATATGAGCCAAAAATATAGTCGAGCGACTTCCGGAGAAACGCGCGCATTCTCGAATATGAAAGAAAAGAAAGCTTCGTGAGCTTTCTTTTCTCTCATTCTGGACAAAAAAATATTAAACATGTTCAGTCTATCTGCAATGCTCAAAATGCTTAAAACTCACTTGATTGACTAATCCCATGTTTTTGTCCCTGACAAAGGTTTCACGATGCTTAATAGCTGCATGTTGAGAGGTAGCCAGTTCATGATAAGCCACAGACAAAGGCTTCAGAAAGCGACATACAACTTGCGATACATATTTAGGCATCGGCAATATCTGGAATATAGGTAGAGGTAGGTACAGTAAGAATTTGTGGTGTCATATTAGCAAAAAACGTTTGAAAATTTTAGATAAATGATTTTTTCAATAGACTTTATCATTAGGTTAATAATGCAACGATATTAAATGTCCTCATTGCTAAGGCACATGTCTTCCCTATGTGTGAAATAAAGGAGATTGAGCCCCATGCACATATGGTTACTATTTAAAAATTTGAAAAGTACTGACAAAAAGCTGGACATTTCGAGAAAAGTCCGGACATTTTAGTCACAAAATGCAAACATCACCCACTTAGTTACAGTGATATTATACTCGTGGTAGCAGACACTCTCATCGAGAGGGCAGTCTCGATGTTGATTTATAAAGATTGTTTGACTTATTTGATATAACTTAATAAGTAGGTTTACTCATATTCCATCAAATTTAAAAAAACCGGACAAAGTCCGGACAGAAGGCAAAAACTTATTATATCAAGCTTTCCGAGCTTCAGAAGGCACGTTAAGCCGATGGTCCCGGCTGCATCTGCAGTCGTTAGCACCCACCATTTCGCATTGGGCCCGCGTGGTGGGACACGGCCCAGTCTCCCTATTCCATCCATAGGGAAGGCCTGTGCCACTGCAGTGGGGACATTAAAAGGTCATCTATATAGACATGGGTACATTTTGGCTTGTTAGGGTTAACACCCGAACACCCTGTATGATTATAAATAGAGTCAGCAGCTCATCATGGTAATCAAATCCAACCGACTTTCTTCTTTAAATTTAAATTCCAAACAGTAGAATTTATTAGATATTCATGGGTAAATTTTACAGTTTGCGGTAATTTGTACTTTGTACCCATGCCATTTTGACCATACGCTTACTAGGGGGCGCTAGCGTAATGTTTGCACACGGGCGCTAGGGTAATGTTTGCACACGGGCGCTAGGATAATGTTTGCACACGGGCGCTAGGGTAATGTTTGCACACGGGCGCTAGAGTAATGTTTGCACACGGGCGCTAGAGTAATGTTTGCACACGGGCGCTAGAGTAATGTTTGCACACGGGCGCTAGAGTAATGTTTGCACTCGGGCGCTAGGGTAATGTTTACACACAAACGCTACATGAGCTAGAGACGCCTCTGTGCATGACACACGACGCAATCCCGATATGGGCCCATTTGTGGGTGCTAATTACTGCAGATGCAGCCAGAATCAACGGCATAGCGACTCCGAAGAACAGAGGAGCTCGATAATATATATATTTTAGTCTCGTATCCGATGATACCGGTCATCGGACCAGTCATCGCAAAGTTGCTTAACTTCTACAATCGCAGATCGAACACGCTAACTACTTGTGCCATCGAGCGACACAAACAGGCTACCATAATCGCATCATTGACTGAGTCTTTCCCAGCTGCGTCTACCGTATCATCCTTATACATAACATAAGATGGAGTTAGTGATTTGATGCGCCTTGTATTAAAACAAATTATTCGAAATAATGCACAGATAGCAAATGTACTAGAGGGTTATTTATGTAAATTAAATATATTTCATACCTTTCCATGCAAGATAAATGACACAAGAATGTATTTTTTATAAGCTTCCAACATTATATGTGAGACTACCATGGCCGGTACAGTAACTACCACTTCAAAAAAATATAAAGCTCTGTCATAGTTTTTCATTGCTGTGTAAATCATACCCCCATAATAATAATAAAGCAGGAAATGTTTAGAGTCATTGTTGCCACCCAACTGAAAAGTAGAAAAAAATTAATTAGTAAGGCACTGGACAACAATATAATGACATCCGGCTTAATCTACGAATGGCTGAACTGTAAGTTGCCTTATATATGTTACGATAATATGCTGACCTTACAATAGATTAAAAGACACAGTGGCTCAAGGGCCAATGATGCGGCGGACTGCCTAGCCCGGCTATTGGTAAAGAGCCTATTTTACCCATACCTTTTCGACAGCTGAGGACCTGGATAAGAGAACGCTGTCAACAACAACATAACGATTACTGGACAGAACTCACGGACTGAAGACAAGTAAGGGAAACCATTGCTAAGGTAAACCTGCAGTTATCACGCAAGTTAATTAGACTTTGTATACGCAATAGTCATGGCTATTTCAAGTAACACCTTTGTAATATGGGTATTTCTGACAGCCTTCTGTGCAGTGCCTGCCTGGAAGAAGAAGAGATGGGCGCCCACATTTTGCTGGTTTGTAGAGGTGTTGCAAGACAAAGGACTTCTCTAATGGGAAATCTTGACGACCTCCGTGGTCGAGTGGTTTGTACGCCGGGTTTCATGGTGTCGCCGACTCGAGAGGTGTCGGGTTCGAATCCCGGTGGGGGCAGATGTTTGAGTGACGAGCATTTGTACTATAGTCATGGATGTTTAATATGTATTTCTATATAAATATACTTATATATGTACAGTATATGTATTCTATCCGTTACCCTAGCATCCCATAACACAAGCCTTATAGTGCTTACTTTGGGGCTTAGGCTAATTTGTGTGAGTGTTGAAAATATTCATTCATTCATTCATCCACGGACACTAGTAGAAGCCTGCAGCAACATTTGGGGACTGCTGTGTTTTCTGGAGGAGCTGAAATGGCTGAAGTTATGCCATTCCTCACGCAAAATAAGCACGTGGTGTCGAGTTGCGTAAACAGCCCACGTAGTACTAAGACTAGTGTACCTCCCCTACACTTGCAGTGGAATTGACGAGAGTTAGTGAGTATGTCTCACCCCCAATATACTCCTAGTAGTCTGGATTTTGTGATAAAATTCACAGCAGTAATATATATAATGATGTATAAGGAAAACCATTACAGCCAGCCAAGTAGGCTTAACAAGAGTGTGTGTGATAAATTTGAGATGGGTAACCATGGATAAAACCCTATAAAGTGCGTGGCACGACACGCACTTGGCCAGTTTTTAATAAATAAATAAATTTTGGAGTGCCCAAAACAAAAAATACTTAATAAGCACACACCCTGGGTGTTGATACTGGTGTCGATTCTGGGATAATTCTCTAAAGAAAAAAACTTAATTTAACATGAGTCTTTCCTTTTCATTCTGTAATGAAATAGACAAGGTTTACACCGGTAGTTAGTTTTTTAGGGCGGTTCCCGCACTTAGTCCTAATCATTGGACTATTTTGCGTGTCTTGAAACATTGCCATTTACTTCAGCCAGCCTAGGTTAGACCAGAAGAAAAGCAGCCTTGGCAGACTACTGCAAGCTTCGGAAACCGATGCTGGCGACTGAACAAGTCATGCCCATTGGTCGGCCACACTCCTGCATTCCATGGTGACATGCTGTGGCGTTTCTTTTGCCTCCATACACCCTCTGCATAGGGGGCTGTCTGTTACTCCTGTGGTATATAGGTGTTTGTTTAGTGAATAAGGATAAATCGATGTCAAATTTAAGTTTAGGTTTATTGAATCCTGCCAGAATAGACACCTTTGTTATGCCAAAGATCTGTGACTCAATAATATCACTTTTTGACACAATTATTATTACTAAAACATAAAATGAAAAATACACATAGATTACATTATCAATTGAGTAAGCAAATACATATATTAACTGCTAGATATTTAAATCTAAAGAAAAGTTTACTAGAAAAAATCCACGCGGACCAGGCAGCAGACGTGAATCCTGGTAAATACATATACACTCGGCGTCAAAAAATAGCACCTCTTAGAAAATCACTTTCAAATGTCATTAAGAGACCTTTTACAAAATTACGCCGCTCTAGTTTAGGTAAATACGGCCGCGAGCGTGTCCGAGTCGCACGAGCGAGACATCGACGCGGCGATATTCAGTATAGCGCGCTTTACCAAATTGATACTTTAATATGCAATTATTGATTATACAATAAATGCAAATATAAAATAAAGTTTATTTGAAGTGCTAAGATGGATCCCCACTGTAGCAAAGAACGATTCTAGATAGGAATCCTGAGTGGAGCAAAGGATACAAGGATTAAGTTTTTTTACTATTGTGAGAAAATAAATAAAATATTTACAGTACCCATGGGTTGTGTTTTGGAAATGACAATAAAGATTAATTATGATTATTACTAATTATTGTAACTTTATATGTATGATTTGCATAACTTTTGTTTGTTCAATTTTTTTTTGGAGTTTACTCCTTAAGAATCGATTTGCATATATAAGGGGCCCGGTATGAGAAAAATGTGAAGAGTAAAATCTATCGATGAATGACCTCGTTACGTTTTTGGGGCGCATCCTATGTCGCGCAACTTTGACAAACAAAGATGACGGATTGAGATTAATAAAATTTTTGGAGTTTACTCCTTAAGAATTGATTTTCATATAAGGCCCCCGGTATGAAAAAAATATGAGGAGTAAAATCTACTGAACAAATGACCTCGTTACGTTTTAGTGCGCAACCTCATCTGCGCACCTTTCACTTTTCAGTTGTGTGTGTATACTTCTGTGTAGCCAGCGTCAATCAACCACGACAATAAAGAAGTATAGTTATATTTCAACGATAGAATCGATTGAATTGATATCTATTGAAAAGAATCGATCGATAAAATAAAAATCGCGAATTCTATAATAAATGATTAGCGGACATTTGACATTTCTATCTTGTTTTCTTTTGAGCAAATGAAAGTGTCTCTATCGTTTCTTCACAATGAATGAGAACTTCAAAACCGTTTTTCTCTAATATAAATAAAAATTTTCAAAAAAACTGCGCTTCGGACGTCGGTAGATAATTTTATTTACGGACGTACGAAGCGATTTTCCCTTTCAAAACCCTTTCAAATTTACCCATCAACAGCTCTCAAATTGATAATTTATAGTAAAAAAAGTTATTTTATGTTGCAATTTTAAAAAGCTCTGAATGTGAATTTAAATAAAAAAATACTTTTTTCATATTATCTAATTTATTTATTATAAAAATTCTGAAAATTATCGCGCCTTGATGTAATTTTTTTTTAATACGCTTTTATTAGCTTTTGGTGTAGCTCTACTTGTAACCGACTTCTTCGGACTTGATTTTGTTTTGTGTCTGTTCGAAGACAATCGTTTTTAGAGTGTAAACTCCGGTCGTGCGTCGGAGCTGACACACACAATTTATTTTTTATTCACTCCGTAATTAAATGAAAAGTTTGTTCACTGTTATCGCTGAATGAAATCCCTTTTTCGAGTGGCAATGAGAAATAATATTTTATTTACTTGTGTTTTTTAGTATTGACTTTTTTAATGATGATTGATGTTTGGTAATAATCAAATATCTCAGTAAAACTGTACTAAGAGTAGTTTTGTCTTTGCCTTCGTAGTTCATTTAATAAAAAAGTATTCGCACTCTGTATTTTCAATATATTAGGTCTGCGTCCTTAGACCTTTTTGTCGGGTCATAAGTATCAGGCTGAAACTTTCTAGATCGCTTCATTTCAGTGAGTCGGACAAACTTTTTATTTGACAAAAATCTCGGTAGTGGGGACTAATTTTGCTAGAGGCCTTGAAACATGTCGATAAGTCCGGGTGCCAAAAATTTACTAATACCAAGCCGATTCTTACTGAAATTTAAAGATTAATTTATGAGAAAGTCAAAAAGTAGATTGTCCGACAAAATTAATGGGGACTATGCGCCAGTCGGACATACTGAAAATGTTGGAAATTCCAACTCAAAAAAGTGATTAATATCAGGCTAATTTTTTTTTATGGGTTCATAAAAATTAATATAATACAACTGTAACGTTGTCCGACAAAATTTATGGGGATAAGCGCCAGTCCGACACTCGAAAAATGTCGAAAATACCAGCACAAAAAAGTGATTATACTTGTCGGACAAACATGAGTAATTGTAGATTAGATCATTTATAACCGAAATATAGTGATATCCGACAAAAATAATGGGTCATATCGCTAGTCCGACAAGATTAGCCTAACCGCAAAGAAACTATATCTATATATACGCTCTTAGAAACGCCAGTATATCTATATGTGGATTTCGCTTTCGAGAGCTCTGTTAGTGTATCTGTCGCACTATATAGTATACATGAGGTTTTAACCTCTCTACCACAATTATAAGTTTGTGAATAAATGTAGCTGTACTTGGCTCAAGTTTAATGTATAAACTTTTTTTAAGCTACCCTTTTTGTTTCTAATTAGATAATCTTAGAAAAATAATATAATTTTATGTTGTTTGATAAATAAAATATTAGTTTTATTATCACACATTTAGAAGTTTTTCATAAGACTTGACTCAAAATAATTGGCAAAAAAAAATTACTTCTCAAATGTATCAATTTTAATTGATAATATTGAAAAAACTATTAAATATCTAAGTAGTATATATGTTACCGGCCAAACCCGATTTCAGGACAATCTAGTTTTGCCTAGGCTAAACTGGTTCTTCCTATACGCGATAGGATTAACTAGTATAGCCTAGTCCAAACTAATTTATCCTAAGCGCGACAGGATAAACCAGTTTAGCCTAGGCCAAACTAGATGATCCTGATATAAATACGCACACTCTAGGATAAACTAGTACGACCTAGTCTAAACCAATTTAGCAAAGCGGAAAGTAATTGAACAGACATGTCAGGACTTGTACAGGGCGCGTCATGTAAAAAGAACGCTGGAAGAAAGTGGAGGGAGTGTTTTTTCTGTAATTGGTTTTTGTTTAACTCTTTTGTTGTTGCCGGGAGTTCGGAAGACAGTAAAGCCGGGTACGCATTAGCGATCTGTTACCGTAACATG